GCTCTGAGCTGGCAGTCAGCACAGAGCCCGACGCGGGGCCGAACCCACGAACCTCGAGATCATGACCTAAGCGAAAGTCGGACGCTTAACCGACTAAGCCACCCAGGCGCCCCTCAAAGATGAAAGATTTCTGAAAACATCTCTCCATAGTCTGCCGCATCATCAGAGAGATGAGGGGAAAAAAAGATTTACTTCACCTATAACGTGATCACAGACTATTACCTGGAATCTCAGTTTGCCGCAAACATCTCCGTGCTCATTCATCTATCCATTAACTAATTATATCTTCACTGGCTTGCTGTCCTCTATTGTGTTACCCTCTACTTCCCCCCCCCAATTCATGAAAATACATGTGTTCATGAATTTGCACGCACACACTAACACATCACCCGCCTCCACACGCATACACCAAAAGCTTTTTTATGGCTCAGAGGTGACTTTCTGAAAAACTCTATAATAAAATATTTCTGACCTGGCCAAAATTTCTATGGACAGAACAGTTTGCTTTTAAGTTTATATTTAAATTCCAATTAGTTAATGTGCAGTGTGATATTAGTTTCAGGTGTACAATATGGTGATTCAACACTTAACACCCAGTTCTCATCACAACAGGTGCACGCCTTAATTCCCATCACCTATTTCCACCCACCCACCCCCCACAAACACCTCCCCTCTGGTAACCATCAGTTTACTCTCTATAGTTGGGAGAAGTTTTCTTGGTTTGCCTCATTTCCCCCCATTTGCTCATTTGTTTTGTTTCTTAAACTCCACATATAAGTGAAATCTTACTGTATTGGTCTTTCTGACTTATTTTCCTTAGCTTTGCTTGACATTCTAAATTGGTGTTTTAAATATTTTATGAGGTTTGTTGCTTCTCTGTGAAGGAGTACGGAAGTATCAAGTCGTAACTTGAGCTATTAAACTCTTTAATCATAGCACAGCTACATTGTTAGAATTCTAATTATTTAAAAAAAACAATCATGGTCCATTATCGGTTTGCTAAACATGATAGCAGTAATTTAGAAGGTCATCTGTTCAAGATTTGCCTTTTATTGAGCCAGATGGTAATTATTTTAGGTAATTACCTAAATACCCTGTCACTACTCAGTGCTTCTATTGGTATGTGGAAAAATCAATGACAACGCATTCAGAAAGAAGGGGTGGGGGTTGTGTTCTGGTACAGTTTGACCAAACTCGGTGGGGCAGATGGGCCCAGGCTCTTATTTGTGGACTCCAGAGCCAGATCTTGTAATAACTTATTGGTTAAGAATCATCTATATGTTACATGCTCGTTAAGCCCTTAATCCAGTGCCTTTTAGGTAGTGATCGTTCCTGTTCTCCAGAGGAGACTACAATTTAGAAAGGTGAAAAGATTTTACCAAAATTACATAAATGGGGAATAGAATTGGAATTTGAACCTCGTTTTAACTCCAGTTCCTGCCCCCCGGTGGCTACACTCTGACTCAATCCATACTGATTCACTAAGCATAAACACAGCCAATAATCCAATCACCCTATCACTTTTCAGTGTTCTGTTAGATTCTGGAGCATTAAAACTTTCAGAAAAGCACTGAACATTCACAAGAGTGACGATTATAGGTACCTTTCAAATTCTACTCTAAACATTTCCTCATCTATTCTTAGGACACAATTCTAGTCAAGCCGAGTATCTCAATTAGAAATTGAGCATTTTACCAAAACTATACTGAGTGGGTGAAGTTGACGGTATTTGTAGAGAATGTTCCAGACACTGCGAGTGTCTAAGCTCCCAAAGGTGCTTATCAACAAGGAACAGCTGACTGTGGGGAAATCAATGTCCTTGTACCTGCAGTGATAATAGAGCCACCTGGGAGACCCACAGGGCAGCCTTCTTCCACTGCCTGGTGATCCTTTTCAGGACAAAAATAGAGCACTCGTTCTTCCTGATGCAACCAAGGGCATGCTATTTTCTTTGTCTGAAACATCCGTGAATATTAGGTAATGTATTCACAGAACTGGAATTAATTTAGTTCTAGACCCGGTATTCTCATCTCTGGCTGCACATTAAAATCACCTGGTGGTATTTTACGACTACCAATACCCAGACTTTCTCCTGAGCCAATTAAGTCAGAGTCTCTGTAGGGCTGGGCCAAGAAAAATAAAGCTCCCCAAGTAACTCTAACATGAATATAGACTTGAGAGCACTTTTGTTGACCAGGAGTTAAGATGCATTATCTTTGTAACTGAGGAATGGAGACAGTAGAGATTTTGGAGTAATTAGCTTTGACCCCGAGAGAAGACTGGAGCTAGTGACCCAGGCCAGGATATGAACTGGGCATGTTGTGTTAGAGAAGTCTTTGTTGCTTCTATGCCTCAGTTTCTTCATATATGCTAAAGACCTTGGAAATGTAAAGTCTTCTTCAGGCTTCCACAGCGAGTGGGGGGGGGGGGGAGTTGACAACCCACTTAGCAAAATTACACGTATGAAAATAGTGCTGTTGGTAACAGGATAAATTTAAGGGGAAAAAAGTTCCTTCAGAATTTTTATCTGATTGTGAAAGCAACCTAGCTTCTAGCAAAGAAATTGAAAGCCCAAAAGAGATTTATGACGCAGTTATTATTCTGCAATGCTGTACAATTAAAAACAAGGTAACCATTGTCTAAACAGGGTAACATGAACAACAAACAGTATTTGTGTAAAGTATTTACCATACTGGAAGGTTTTGTTTTTGTTTTTTTTAACTGACTTAATCTGAAACTTCAAATCAAAGCCTAAAGATTAAGTTAAGGGTCCTAAGGAGAATCGGATCATCTGCTAAACTTACCCACATACAAACGCCTTATTAACAAACAAGCTGACAAGTTGATCTTCAAGCAAAGAATTTGTATCCCAATTCAAAGCATAGTGATTACTCAGTTGGGTGAACTGTCAATAATCTTGATAAGTTTATTTCATTCCATACCAATTTTTTTTTTTTACCTCCATGCAAAGTTCACGCATAAGATGCATAATTAAAAAGGAGTGTCATTTAGGAGACGATTATCGACGAGTGGAAATGAAACACGAGGTGCTTTGTGGGCTCTCCCTCCTGACCTTGCCAGGACTCCTGTTGTATCAAGAGCCCAGCTGGAGAAAGCTGAGCTAATAATGGCCCAGCTGCATCATCTAACAGGATCTTCATGATACAAGCAAGGTCAAGTGCTCTATCATGTAGAGTATTAATCTCACTGCGTACGGGGGGGGGGGGCGCCTGCTCGGACAGGATCTCCAGCTGGAGAGCCTATGGAGGTCCAGGCTATGGGACGGTGAGCAAGAGTGTCTAAGGTAAAAGGAGTAATGCATCTCAAAGAAGCTGAAAAGGATAGTCTGGAAAGAATGCCTATGCTCGTGAATGCGTAGTATTTCAATGATCTTCAATGTAAACAATTTTTACCACAATAACAGCATAGCTTTACATCATTCAGGATTGCATATCTAACTTAACTGCATTGTTCTTGATCTATCTCTCATGACCAAAAGTCCTTGTAAATCCAACATCCACAATTACTATAATTTCTTACAACTGTAACAAAGAGCGTAATATACCAAATATAGATTTCATCTGCAGATCACCATTTTATTAGAAGTTTGACTTCTAATAATTCAAAACCCAAAAATCAAGGTCTAGAGAATAAAAATGAAGACTTGTTAAGGTGACTTCTCCAAGAGATATCTGTAACCAAGAATGATAAAAGAACAGTAATTGAATACAAAATTGGAGAGGGTTCTTAGATGTTGATATTCTAGAAATTCATTGCCTGTAATTTCAGAAGTAAAAATAAAACACTGCCATGTTTTATGCCAATGAAAAATTTTCATTTTCTGCTAAATTAATACCAAACGCTCCTTACCTATTAAACAAAATCAACTTAGACTATAAATTCACAGATGAAAATCTGAAGATTAGGATATCCTAATTGTTTCTAATGATGCCTTACTATGTACAAAGTGAGACTCAATGTTATGGTCAACACATGGACATAAAGGCGTAGGTACTGGATACCTATCTGTTGTGAATCTTCAGGAATATAGACAACAAGGAGTAAAATGAAATCTCCAAAGTCAAAGGCACTGAAATCCAAAAATTCATTCTGAATCCCTATTTCATTTTTTGTAGCCTGGTTTCAGGGTAAATTCAACAGTTTAACAATATACTTTTGGAAGTTATTGAATATACGGATCATACCTTCCTCTGGAGCATTTTAATAGCTAAAATATTGCACTCCCTTAGAAGGATAAAATTTCACTTTTTAATAAAAGACAAGCCATCTTATCGGTCCAATTTGCAAAGAAACATCAGACATTTTACTGGATGTTAAAATCAATCTGCTTGGGAAATCTTAATAATAGTGGAAGATTGCACCCATTAATTCACCAGATACCTCTTGTCCATTTACTATTTGGCAGACCCTTAGCTAGACAATGGAAAACAAAGATAAAGGGAAACTTGGTCCCACCCTGAAGGAGCTTCAGGTGTCTTGGAGACGATATGGTTCCAATTTACCGGGAGGTGTGTAAAGGTGGGGGTGGTTATGGTAGAAATAGCTGAGGGCCCCATGGAGAGAGAGAGGGGATTCTGGCTGCCACAAGGGGCAGCTGTGAAGGTGTTCTGACTACACTCACAGAGATTGGGGTCCACAGGGCACAGATGATGAGGAACTTTTGTACCCAGGGAGGTGTTGGAGTTGTTACCCACTGTGATAAGAGAGAATCTGCTCCTGAGAAGACAGAGGTTCAGTCTCTGGGACAGGCTGGTTTGGGAAACTGGGACTAGAAAGACCCTTTGTGACTAGACGGAGAACGGCTTTGTATCCCGTACTAACAGGTAAAGGCGCTGCACTGCACCAGTGCATTGGGACTGCCACAGCCTATCATCCCGGAACAGAGAGCTTATCCAATAAGAAATTATTTCTTCATGGTTCTGAAGGCTGGAAGTCCAAGATCAAGTTATCAAGTTATCAGAAAGTTTGCTTTCTCCTACCCCCCGGGCTTCGCAGATAGCTGCCTCCTCCGTGGTCTCCAAGTGGCCTCTTCTCCATGCAGGCTTCCTGCCAGCTGCTTTTTCCTGGTCTTACAAGGATAGTGGGCCTATCAGATTTGGCCCCACCCCTCTGACCTCATTTCAACTCAGTTACCACCTTAAAGTGGTACAAATACAGTCACATTGGGTGCTAGAGCTCCAACCCCAGATTTTGAGGAAATACAATTCAGTCTATAATAGGGGCCATTATAGGGTTTTGAGTAAATGAAAATTTTAGGAATATGACTTTGAATGTTGTGCAAAAAGTGGAATGGAGAGAATGGATATTATTAGAGGCATTTAACAGAGTAGAGCCCCCTCTCCTGACAATCAAAGGTAGGCAGAATGTTCTGTGTTTGATTCTTCTTGCTCCATGCTTACAGCCTCACCCCCAACTTGTACTGGAGTGGAGTATGTTTTGGCATAAGGAAAATATGCAGAATTCTTAAATACTGGGGCTTCATTGTTGTCAATACAGTGACCTGTGCCGGTGAGAGAGGTGAGAGACTTTATAGAGGTCCTGCCTTCATGCAGGGCTGTAACAGCCCTGGCAACAGCTGGGCTTCATCTGATGCCCTTGAGTCCCTTGCTCCATCTCAGTGGTGACCCAGGGTGTCCTTCACTTAGGTGCCACCCATTTGTCTCCTTCACTGAGAAGCCACACAGGAGTGGTTGAGTTTCAAATCCCCACAGAAAATAGAAATTATATGAAAGGCATTTCTGATGAGACTCTACTGGCTGGGATTCAGTGTACACTGCTGTGGGTGCCGAGCATTCATGTCCCTGGATTTCCAAACACTGATGAACTCATACATGGCCCACCAAGTATTCTGATGGTGGCGCTGGTCCAGAGTACAGAGTCTACTCACAGGATGGGGCACTTCACATCTCTGCAATTAAGATGATGTCTATCAAAAAATTAAAAATAGAACTACCCTACGACTCAGCAATTGCACTGCTAGGTAGTTACCCACAGGATACAAAAATGCTGATTTGAAGGGGCACAAGCACCCCAGTGTTTATAGCCGTGCTGTCAACAATAGCCAGATTATGGTAAGAACCCAAATGTCTATCGATGGACAAATGCATAAAGACGATGTGGTGTATATAATAGAATATTATTCAGTGATCAAAAAGAACAAAATCCTGCCATTTACGATGACGTGGATGGGACTAGAGTGTATTAAGCTAAGCAAAATAAGTCAACAGAGAAAGACAAATATCATATGATTTCATTCACATGTGGAATTTAGGAAACGCAACAGATCAACATCAGGGAAGGGAAGGAAAAATAAGATAAAATGAGAGAGGGAAGCAAACCATAACAGACTCTTAAATACTGGAACGAACTGAGAGTTGAAGGAGGGGAAGTGGCTGGGGGGGATGGGCTAGATTAAAGAGGACGCATTTTGGGATGAGCACTGGATACTACATGTATGTGATGAATCCTTCTGTTCTAGTCCAGAAGCCAATACTACACTGTATGTTAATTAACTTCAATTTAAATAAATATATGTGAAAAATAACATTTCTCACAGGATGAATAATACCTAATTCACAAGGAATTTTGAATAAATATTACATGAAATAAAGCATGTAGCGTATTTCCCCACCCCAGAAAAAGAAGCATGTTTTCAACCCCCAAATTAAGTAACACTGTTATTCCAGATGAGTTTTGCCTCAGAAAGTACTTAAAGGGTCATGTTAGGAGCATTTTACAAATTAGCAAGAATGTCTGATGCTTATAGTAATGCACAAATTTGGTCTTGAGTCTCCAGTGACTAAAATACTGCAATGTCTAATGAGTGTTTATGATAAAAATGTTCGTATTCACAGAGTGGAGGAAAAGCAACTTTTCTTAAGTGTTTGGTATGGACTATATACTGTCATAATTCTCCTGACAACATGTAAAATTGATGTCATGAACGTTTTCTAGGTGAGGAAAATGAAGTCCCCTCAATGGGTGATGCTTTTGACGCTACATCTCTTGGATTCCATAACCTGTGTATTTTCCACTGTACCTTCCTGCCCCCAAAACTAGCCTCCAAGTCACACAATTCTGACCTGAGATTGAGTCAGAGCTCTATAAGTTCATCACTATGTGATAAGGGCACACTAATGATTTCCATTAGTCTTAATTACCTTATCTGCAAACCTATTTGAAGGTGCTCAGTGAAGGCTAGCTAATGGTATATTTATTATTTTGATATAAGTTTTACAAAATTGTCAGAATGCCAAGCTCTTAAGAAATATGTGAGGGGCACGTGGGTGGCTCAGTCAGTTAAGTGTCCGACTTCGGCTCAGGTCATGATGTCATGGTTCCTGGGTTTGAGCCCCGCATCGGGCTCTGTGTTGACAGCTCAGAGCCTGGAGCTGCTTCAGATTCTGTGTCTCCCTTTCTCTCTGACCCTCCCCTGCTCACGCTCTCTCTCTCTCTCTCAGAAATAAATAAAACATTAAAAAATTTAAAAAGAACATTAAGAAGAAACATTTGATATTTTCCAGTTGGTTTTCCAAAGCATATCAATTACTTTGATAACAGCACATGGTAGGATACATCTCATACTAAGATGAGAGCAAATAAGCAAAAAAATATAAAGGTAGGTCACATTTTGGTAAGGTTTTATGGTGTGCATGCTGAAAAGTCCTTTTTAACATTAAGGCAGTACAGATCACACACACACACACACACACGCACACACACACTAAGATAACATTAGCAAGTGAAAGGTAACAGCCCAAAATATACGATGCCTCTACAGTGCTTAGAATGTGCAGTTACATTTTATAAGGTTAAACCAAATAGTTGAGGTCAAACATTTACTCGGATACCTGAACATTCAATAATCCAGCGCATCACTCTCCTGTAATTGCTAAAGAGAAAAAACTGTCTTCAACCTCCCTCTTCAAGAAGATGTGTGGGGGAAGCTTCTACACTTTTTATATCTTAGCATTTACCTACACAAATCATTAGAGAAATGTTTCCCCCAAAGCTCGTGAATCGTTGGCTTCAGAACCAGTCACTCACACAGACCCTTTCAAGCTCTGGAAGATGCCCTCTCAGAGTGCGCATGTAGGATCCCGTGCAACAGGGTGCTACAATAAGATTTTGCAAATATGACTGGTGAAGACTGTTGTCTCACCCCTCCATCTTTCCCTCTAGGGAATTTGACTCTTGCTTGGCGAGTAGTGGGTCTTCTGGCAATGGAGCAATGGGAAGATAAGCCATCACTTATTTCCATAGTTATACAGTTTCCCTCACTTTTATGTGTACCTGAGTTACTCTCTAGTCCTTCTACGAGAATTCCTACGTGACCTCAGCTCCATCATGGCACACAGTGCGGACCACTGTTCTGGAGTGAGGGTGTGTTCTAAATGCCAGACACTGGCAGGAGGTAGGCCACGGGCATGAGAAAACAGTTGATATGGACAGAACCAGAGGCTACATGGTGCAGTTAACTCGATGGAAGCTTTCTCCAGTAACAATGCACATGACATTACCAAAATGAGTCGTCACATTGGCATACAGCTTGCCAATAAGTGTGATACTTATAAAACAAGGTTGAAAAAGTATTTGACTGGGAGAAGTCCAGATGATCTTTCTATTGTCTCTACCAAAAGATATTACAGGATCACAGGATCACATGAGGAGGTGATCAGTCTGCCAAAGCTGTAGAAAAATACACATTATATATAGGATTTGTCAGAGGTTAAAGGGACTATGAGGCCGCTTTGTTTTCAGATTCCCCCCCCATATTTCTTTTTTTAAATTTTTTTAAATGTTTTTATTTATTTCTGAGAGACAGAGAGGCAGCGTTAGCAGGGCAGGGGGGAGGGGTGGATCAGAGAGAGAAGGAGACACAGAATCCCAAGCAGGCTCCAGGCACTGAGCTGTCAGCACAGAGCCGGACACGGAGCTCGAACCCACGAGCTGTGCGATCATGATCTGAGCCGAAGTTGGACGCCCAACCGACTGAGCCACCCAGGCACCCCATCCCCCCAATATTTCTGATTGTTATAGAATTATTCAGCATTGGAAACATGTATAACGTGTGATTTCTTGTCTAATTCTTAGAAATATCAATTTTAAACTTAATATAATATTCATAATATTCTATCTTTATTCTTTAGAGGGTCACCCAAATTATATGACCTTTAGACTTGCCAAAACCTAAATCAGCCTCTGAAACTACTATTATGGCAGTCTGAAATCTTGTTCTAAAGTTTTATTTTAAAAAATAAACATATCACATTTATTAAAATGCTTCCATTACAAATGAAATTCAAGAATATTATTAAAAGGGGTGCCTGGGTAACTCAGTCGGCTGGGCATCCGACTTTGGCTCAGGTCATGATCTCATGGTCCATGAGTTTGAGCCCCGCGTCGCGCTCTGTGCTGACAGCTCAGAGCCTGGAGCCTGCTTCAGATTCTCTGTCTCCCTCTCTGCCCCTCCCCTGCTCGCACTCTGTCTCTCTCTCTGTGTCACTCAAAATAAATAAACATTAGGGGCGCCTGGGTGGCTTAGTCGGTTAAACGTCCGACTTTCGCTTAGATCATGATCTTGCGGTTCGTGGGTTCGGGCCCTGCGTCCGACTCTGTGCTGACTGCCAGCTCAGAGCCTGGAGCCTGTTTCAGCCTGTGACTCCCTCTCTCTCTGACCCCTGCTCATACTGTCTCTCTCTCTCTCTCTCTCTCTCTCTCCTAGAAATAAATAAAACATTAAAAAATAATAATAAACATTAAAACATTTTAAAAAGAAAAGAATATTAGAAAAGGAGAGGCATACACTCATCTTCTACTTCCTATACATCCTGTCTTGTTTCATTCCCACCCCACTCCCTGTAAGTTTCACTCGGGGTTTTCTCTCCTTTTGGTAGCAACTAGAAATTATAGCTCCATTGGCAAAATATCTCTCATGGTTGTGACATTCATAAAGACCAGCATATGTTCAAGTTTGTCTGATTAAATTGGGCCCTCAAATGCAGAACTGTAGCTATCTTTAAAATTATCTAATTAAAAAAACTAACACATTTT